ATCCGCGCCTTCATCGTACACAGCCCGATCACGGCGCGGCGCAGCGGCACCACCTACCACGAGACCATGACGTACTTTTGGGCGCATATGGTGCACTTTGCGATCGCCAGCCAGAAGGTGCCGCCCGGTGAGTGCCGGTGACGGCTCAGGGAGGAGGAAGAAAGAGCGGGAGGACGGGGAGGGAAGTTGACAGGGCGGGTCTGGCGTGAAGATGATTCTACGTAACGCAGGGCATCAAAACGACCCGTAACCCGAGGGGGGCAGTAGCTCGTGGGTTGCGGCGCTGTTCGGAGGACCTGGGGGGCTGTTTATCGCTAGCGCTTGCCCGTTTCAACGCGGGATTGAACGGGTGTACGGAAGTACGGATGTACGACTCGGCTCGGTCTGCTCGCAGGTGCGAACGCGGATTTCCGGCTGTTTCTGCTCATGAACCCGCAGCTCACCAACGGGGGCCTGTTCCTGCACTACTACAGCAAGCAGCTCATGCTCATGGTGAGCCGGAGAGGGGGCAGGCGAAGGGCTGTGGAGTGCTGCTGCCGGCGCTGCAGCAGCAGCAGCAGCAGCTGCTCCAAACATGGGCGGGCGTTTGGGCACGAATACCGTGTCGCGGCTGCAAGGCTGGAGTGAGGCACGTATCACGCGTTCACGCCGGCTGTTCCTTGCGCATCGGGGGCCGCAGGAGCCATTTGTCGGGCCCCACGGCTAACCTGCCATCTACCCTTGGGATCCCCGCCAACGTTCCGCCAGGCCGTGGACTTCCTGGAGGGGGGGCTGTGGTGCCTTGTCGGGGATACATATCGCTCCCACGCTTCAAGAGTACCTTCTGATAATGCCCTTTGGAAGGCACTTTTGAAGCGTGGGAGCGGCAAAATGCAGGGACGGGCACCCCCGACCAGGTCATCCAACATCGTATCCCTTGAAATCCCACGCCCCGCGCCGTCCGCCGTTTCTTGCCCCGGTCCTGCTGTGTCCCCATCCGCGCTGCTTCGCTCGGGCCCGCCCTTGCAGACGCCCGAATCCCGGGAGCGCGTGGTGCTGCCGGATAAGGTGAGAAACGCACCGAGGTTTGAAGCCCCGCTCCGTCCCATCGCTGCGGTGTCAACTGCATTGACCCCCCGGGGAGCGATTGAAGCTGCGCGCGAGCGCAGGTACGCACCTGCCGCCCACGCCACGCCACCGCTCGCGCTACCTTTGTGGGGCCCCCTTTCCCCGCCCGCAGACACCTCTGCCCAGCATCATCACCGACCTCACCTCTCTAAGAGCCGCGCTACCGGGGACAACCCAGCCTGGCGGCGCAGCGACGGCGGCACCGCTGCCGCCGTCGCAACAGGCTCCCCAGCCGCCGACGGCGCCGCTGACCGACGATGCCTTCTTGGACCGCTTCCTGACCCGCTCTCTGGACCGCTGGAACCACGAGTGCCTGCTGCGCGCCGTCTACTGCTGCCTCAAGCGCCACGGCCGCCGGCGCGGCGGCGACGCCGCACTGGATGCCCTGCGCGCGATGCAGGGCTCCGACTTCCACCTCACCATCTGCTACTTCTGGCTCTGCATCCTCACGCACACGCTCGCGAACGAGTTCCACGCAGCGCTCTTCGCGGAGCGCCCGGCGGCGGCAATGCCGCCGCCGACGCCTTCGGCGGCCGCGCCGGAGGCGCCGCCAGGGGCGGCGCCGGCGGCTGCTGGTGGCGTAGCGGCCATGCCGGAGTGGACGAAGCTGTTGGACCGTGGTTGCTACACGTCGGTGAGGCTGCGGGAGCTGATCGCCGACGAGCGCCGCTACCTGCGCTACTACTCCAATAAGGTGGTCTTCTCGGCCGAAGCCGCGGCGGTGTTCGTGCCGCCGGACAAGAGGCCGCTGCCGTCGACGGTCTGAGGGAGGGAAGCGCTTGGAGACCTGAAAGGGGACGCATGCGCTGCTGCGCGGCAGGGCCACCTGCGTTGCGTTGCTGATTGAGTGAACCGTTAAACAGTGCAACCCAGAAGATCACTGCACCTGACGCTGCTTCGGCTGAAGCCCAAACCGCGGGCCCAGGCGACCAGAGACTCGACCCGGAACAGCCAAACTGAGGGCGGCCTGCTGATACGGACTGAGATACGAGCTGCGAGGCGATTGCTCGAGATGCAAAAGCGTGCGTGCCGGAGTATTCTGACAGCTCATGTGATATGAATGGATGGGCTCAGGATTGCCATTTGCTGCATGCGCCGTGGGGCCACAATTCTCTGTGATATAGCGCTAGGGCACCAGGCAGCGACAGTTGAGGCTGCTTGATGTTGGCATCGGATCGCGGCTGTGATGCCCGGTGCCCTTACCGTGACCGCTGTATGGCAGGTGCCCCAGGTATTCAGGCGGGGACTTAAAAGCTTGCAGAAACCGGCGTCCCAAGGTAGCTTTCTTGTCTTCCAAGGGTTACAGAATATACAACAGGCATTCCGGGCGCCCCTTACCCACACCCTTGGGTCCGTTGGGACAGAAGGCAAAAACAAGGATACATACGCGACACGGCCTTGGCACAAGACACGCCGGACCGCGTGCTGGCTGTCATGGCAGCGCTGGCCAATAATTAAGTGGCCCAAAACACCAAACAATGCCCTTCCGTATGGAGGGAATGGTCTCATCAAAACAGGCATCCTGAATTGTTGCCAACGGCCCCTAGGCCACGCTTACTAATGCAAACACACTACCTGGCAGCCTCAAGCACTCGTCAGCCAATTTGGTCCCAATGGACGGCACCAGAGTCATCTACGCTGCGTGTCTACCTGTGCATCAACAAGTCAGCTTACAATATGGCCGAAGCCGGGACAGGCTGCACGTTGCGATGGTGCACCGCCCTAGTGCCGCCCCGCGATGAAAGTCCGCAACAAGCTGTTCTGGTCGAAGACGGGGACCCCCGAATGGAAGCCATAATCGCATGTTCCCTTTCTCTGCTTTCCAGCAGCGTGGTATAAATAGGGATGCTTGGTCACAGGTGTTAAAAACGGTGGGTGATCACGGTAGTCTGCTCCGAGGTGGGCACTGAAGAGCTTGGCAGTCTGCCCCATTGTTTGCAGGGACCCTGTTACCGCATCTTGCGGAGCGCGTTGGAAGCGGTCGGGCCCGCAGCGTGCCGCGTGTCTGCGTGACAAGTGCGAGTGCGTTGGTCCAGGGCGCCGGGCAGATGAGGCGCAAGACTCTTCCTGTGCACCATGAACACTTACAAGAGCATGGCTGCGGGAAAAGCGGGTGCGCCTCGTTGTCCGCGGGCGTCTGGACGGGTCTCTGCACGGGCTGGTGAAAGGGATCCAACAGTGACGCACCGGTTAGGTTCAGCCCTAGTTTCTGAACGTGAAGCGAGCTTACCAGGTAGGCGGGCCTCTCGCTGGTCCGCCGCTCCGTGACTGGCCGCCCATGGAAGGGCCCTTCAAGCACGTAACCGCTGGTCTGTTGGGTATGGCCACATGAGCACGTTAGGTTATGCATTTTAGCTACCATCAACAGCGTATTTATCGTGCTCGGACCTGGGTCTTGGTGGTGAGGTCAACGAAGGGCATCCTCGCAAGTAGGGTGCCGGCGACCACGTCCTTCCTGTCGGGAAAAACCGCCCCTACTCCGGTCGGCCTTACAGTGCTGATAAGGCCGGTCATTGGATCAACGTTCTCCAGGTCGTGCCCGGCGTGCATTGTCGGACCCAGAGGCATGGTTTAAAAAGGTTTCTTGATGCGCAGGTTCACAGATTGATTGACTCTAACGGTAGGATATCTCTAGAACAACGGTAGGGTAACTCTAGAACAATGTTTGGCAAAACTCCGTGTCTGTCATTTCTGTCCGAACCGAATTAGTACGATGGATCCTGGGAAGTCTGGGCGTCGGAGTACACGTTCTCCGGCGTGTAGATAATTCGCCCTCACGTCGACTACCGTACGTAAATAAGGGGCTTAGGCTGATTGCCTTTTACGGTCCAGAGCTTGGAACCACAAGCCATCGGCGCTCCTTTGGACGGCTGGCTTTCGTTTACTGCAAGGACAATCTTTTGCAAATACCTTATCCCGTTTACTGTCGGGAATTTTTGGCCAAAGGTTTTGTGCCAAGCTTGGTGTTGTCTCGCCGCGGCGTGCCGGCGTCCGAGTCCAGGATACGGCATTGAGTGGACCCTGTGCTGAGCTGCGTGACGCACTTGCATGGGCACTGGCACACGCGCCGTAGAACGGCCGCACAATTGCGGCTGCTGAGAGGAGTCAGGCCCGGCTTCCGCCGACTGGTAGCCCTGCTCTCCCGCTGTCCCGGGCGTCCTGGCCGTACCTGGCGGTCGCCTGCCGCCAGGTTCCGGCTGCAGGTCATCGCCGCACCGCACGGCACCACGTGCATGGCCTTCAACGTAGACGCTGCAAGGGGAAATTCCTGTGCCGGACTGAGGTTCGGCGTGATGGCGAGGTGGTGACGTCACCATGGATACACGGCGCGCATACGGTGATGGTTTCGACGTTGACGATCATCAAGTGGGAGAGAGCCAAAGGCCCTTAGTCATGTGCCCAGGTTAAGATACAAGGCTGGCGGCAAAACGCTGCCAGCAACACCACTCCCCCAGGAAAGCAGGGTAGGGTTATTGTAGGTTTGCAACATCGCGAGAGGCCTTTGGAACGGTTACGAGACGGTGCTTGCACAACGCTCCTGGCGTGTGATTGCATTACAGCCCGGTCGTGTTGCGGTCTGCTGCGTGATGGAAGCATGGTTCTTACCTTCTGTGCGTCTGGGGCCCATCGTAACAACACACCAGAGAGGCAGAACTAAGCAGAGGCACACCCCCATGGCAGCCTAGTGGTGTGGGGCGGCATGGGGGGTGGGAATGCGTCCATCGTGTTTCATCACTTCTTTCTCGATATCCGTCGCCCCCAAAGTCGCACGTAGGCGCGACTGACATTGTCAGCGGCCCACAAAGCGTCCGCGTGCGCGGAGTTTCGAACGGGTCTAGCTTCCTGGAGCGAGCCTACGTGTGTTTTTGGAACTTTAGTGCGGTTTGCAGTTTGGCATGGTGGCCGAGTGGTTTATGGCGTAAGGCGCCTATCCGCAAGGGCGCAGGTTTGAATCCTCCCCATGTCATCAGAGGGGTTTTGGGGAATTGTACCGCGATGTGTACTGCAATTCTTGCCTGAAGTCCGTTTTGGGTACACGTGCTACTGGCGTACAGCCAGTACAACACTAATAGCCTGATGCAATCCTTGTGCTGAAGTCAACTCCTTGTCAACATTCGTGAGACTCAGGCGGCAGCGAGTCTCTGCCCAAGGACTGCGTGCAGGTGTGCAGGACTGCGTGCATGAAGTATCTGTACTACCCTCGAAGGACCTCTTGGTCCAATGGGGAATAGGGTAGCGTGTTCGGGAACCCATTGTGCTCAGCACAAGTCTACTCCATTGGAGCATTTAGCGGCTCCGGAAAAGAACTCAAGTACGCATGTACATGTTAGGGAGGGATCCCGTCCAAAAAAGGTAAATGTAGCACCGCAGTTGCCGAAGGGAAGCCGCACCATTTTGCGGCCCTACATGCCCGGCAGGGCACAGCCGTATCCCGTATGCCCTCCTCATTCGGAGCTGTAGCGGCGCCCGATGCATCCAGCAGGCACTCCAACCCCTGAACCACCTGCCGCCCCGGAACCCTCCAACCCAGCCCAGCCTTCAAAACCTACCCACTAGTCATCATCCTCTCCCCGCCCAGCTTTCCGCTTCTGCTTCTTCGCGCCTTGCCGATCCCCCGCCGCCGCCTCCGCCTCCCCACCCGACCGCTTGCCCTTCCGCGATGGCCCGTCCTCAGACCCGACATCCGCTCCTGCCGCTTTCCGCCGCCGCTTGACCGCGCCCCCGTCCTCGTTTTCCATGTCCACCTCCGGGGATAGGAACGCCGACACGCCGCCGCGCTTGCTCCCCTCCGATCCCGCCCCCGCGGCGCCTGCGCCCGCCTTGGCCTTCTTCTTCAGTGACTCCGCCAATGCGCGCACGTCCTCGCCCGCCTGACCCTGCCCCCGCTGCTGCTGGCCGCCGTTGCCGCGCCCCGTGGTGGAGGGCCCATCCTCCTGCAACCGGCAAAGGACAAAGGGAAACAGGGGATTGGGTTTTATTCACTCGGCCACCGCACGACGCCGCACTCGCCACGTACTACAGCGTCGCACTGCACTCGACCTCACGAGTCACCACCCCACCTTGGGCGCCACGAAAGCCGCCTGCCGCTGCCGCTGCCGCTCCGCCGTGCGCGCCTCCTGGGCGGCGTCCTTGGCGGCGGTCGCTCGCTCGCGCTTCTGCTCCTCCGACAAAAAGTACTCGCCGCTCTCCAGCGCCAGGTCCAGCTTCGAGGGCGGCATGGGCGGCGGGAAGGGCGTGTAGACCTTCTTCTTGTCCTCTGCCGCGGCCTTGTCGGCCGCCGCCGCCTCGGGCTTCTTGCGCTTGACGTTCTTCTTCTTGAACTTGGGCAGGAACCTGAGGAGCCGGGGTCCAGCCGCCGGGCCACCCGTCAGACGCGCGCCGGGAGCACGGGAGCCGGTCCGGGAAGGGGCCGTGATGGTGGTAAGGCGACCGGCCGCAGCAGCAGCACGGACAGCACTGAGCCGTAGGGTACCGGGTACGCTGCATGGAGGCTTCTAGGTGCGGTGACTGGCTGCATCCGCCCATCGCCTACCTTGGCCGGCAGTTGCAAAATGTAAAACCGGGCGCCCAGCCGCCGGCGAGGATCCGCAGCGGTGCCATGCTCCTGGGTGTCCGCTCCTCACCCGCTTTCTCCCCTTCACGGGCAGGCCAGGACCCGCACCCATGCGTCAAGGAATCCCGCACCCTGCCTTGGGCTGGACGGCCCCTCTGCTGCCTCTTTACGCCCCTTTACGCCACCTTCTCGCCCCGTTTACGGCGCCCTGTCGTCCCCTCCCTCCGCCCACTCGCACACCTGTCCCAGTTCTCCGTCGCCAGCGCGGGGTCCTTCGCCAGCTCCCGCTTGATCATGAGCGTCTTGATGTGGTAGATGGGGTGGATGTTCTTGATGCAGTCCTCCACGATCTTGCGGATCTGCTTCAGGCCCTTGAACGGCCCCATCGCCGCCACCGTGTTGCCTGTTCACGCGGGAGGCGGGGGCGGCATGGCCGACAGCCACGATCGGTGGGATGCGCGAACAGAAAACCAGCGTCGCAAATCGACAAAAGCAGCCAGGAGAGTCAAATCTGCCGGGTAGAGGCAAGTCTGGGCAGAGGCCAGCAGCGGTCGGAGCTTGACGCGACGGCCGCGCACAGGTTGACAGGTAGCGCCGGTGCCATCACCCTCCCGCACCCACGCAATCTTCCGCAAAGCCAGCGGCGCTCGCTCCCCGGGTCCATCGCTCGCTCACCCTGCACCAGCACGTAGCACCCCGTCAGCAGCTCCAGCGCCTTGAGCGTGCTGCCGTTGGGCCCTATGAGCCGCTGCCGCCGCTTCACAAACTTCTCCTTGTTGCGGATGATACCCGAGATCTTGATGATGTCGCATTGCATGTCATCCTGCGGGCGAGGGCACAGGGGCGCAGCGCGGGCCGCAGGTCGCGCGAGCAGCAACTACAGCAGCAGCAGCAGCAGCAATCGGCAGGCACAGGTTCTCAACGCCGCGCGACGTTGGCGATCGGATCGACCTCCCGGTCGGATCGCAACCGCGCCCCTCCCGGTCGCCGGTCCCAGGGACCCAGGACCGCTCCCAGGAGACCTCCTGCTCCCACGCCCCGCGCGCCCCTTCCCTCCTCCTCGCCCTCCTCCCAGGCCTCAGGCCGTCAGCACAACGTTGGCCGCACTGCACCGCTCCGCAAATGTATTAGCACAGGGTAGTTGGCCGCACCGCACTGCACCGCACCGCGCCGCGCCGCTCGGCGGACCTGCAGAATCTTGAGCGCCTGCGGTGCGGGCACGGACCTCGCCAGCAGCTTGACCAGGTCGCGAGCCTTGATGATGGCGTAGGGGTCCCACGTCTTGCGGGTGGTGCGCACCGTCATGGAGCCCTCCACCAGGTTCAGCTCGCAGCCTATCCCAACGTCCTGGAGGGCAGCGCCGAGGATGGGCGGCGCGCAAGGGATGACAGAGCGCAAGGAAGCGCGGCGAGACCAACCGTGAGATACGGGGTCTGTTCGGGAACTTGCCCGTGAGTGCAGCATGCGTGAAGTGTGGCTAGTGGGCGGATTCGGTGTGACCCCACAGAACCCTCTCTGCATCCCTGTGGCGCACCATCCACGGGCGCCATTAGCGCCATTTTCCCGATGGCGCCCCACCCCCCTACCCTACCTTGAGCGCTTTCGTCACTGCCGGCCATACCTCCCGGAGGTACCTTTCTGCAGGGGCCAACATGCGCGGGATGGGGAGGGCGGGCAGGTTGGACAGGGACGGGGAGGGACTGACACGTGCCGCCGTCGCAGCACTCCTGCAGGTGGCCACGCGCCCCCAAGCCTCAGCCCCCGCTCCCGTGACGGACCTCGGTACTTGGGGAACAGGGTGGCGAATGAGCTCTCTTCCAGCAGGCCCGATGGATTATCCTCAGGTTTGAAGGGATCGACCTTCCAGTGGTCGATGCCGTCGTGGTCCCAGGGCTTGTCACGGCGGTGCTGCGGTGACGTCGGGTGGCAGGGAGCCCGACAAGTTGTGAGCGGAAAAGGCGCTGTGGTTCATGCAGCCGCTTTGCATGGGTCAAGGTTCAGAATGGAGGCGCGGGAGCGCGGAGGGCCTGCCTGTCCCTCGCTGCGACCTGCGGCTAACGGCCATAACCGCAACCGACCTTGCCCGCCCCTTGAACACCCCTTACGCACGACTGGCTGTGAGACGCATAACAAGGACGGCTTTTAAGGTATAGTCGTTTTTATCAGCGCGTGGTTGCAAGCCCGTGATGCTCGGCGGGCTCGGTGCGAAACCATCGTCGGGCAACGTCCGCCAACAAACTTATACCGGCTCCCACAATTTGTCTGTGGATGACTACGTGTGACATGCAGGTGCACTTTGCAGGCACTGGCAGCGTTTTCTAAGCTTGCAAGAGGTTCTCGCAGGAGATTCTCGAAAGCCGCCGTCGCCGCCCCAAACAAATAGCGAGCAAGCATTTCCTCACGGTAGAGATAGTCCTGATGACATTGTCTCAAAACCGTGCTTCACTATAAACTCAAGTGCCCCCACGAACGCACGTACCTTTCCCTTCTTCTTTCCACTCTCCACCGGCGCTCCTTCTCCCTCAGTTGCTCGTTCTGGCTCCTCAGTGCTCATTTGTAGCAGGCGACTTGAGTGTTTGGGTCTCGCGAGTGGAAACGATTTGGACTAACGCACAACCGCTAGCTAGCGTGTGAAAATGCCGTAACCCCTCAAGTTCTGACCTAGTGCTCAGAGTCGAATGCGGTGACAGTGCACTGATAAGCTGATGACGTTGCTCTTCCCCAAGGTTCCGTTTGCAGACGGTTGTCGGTTTGCACGGCACAGCCAAAATTAAAACAACGCACTTCTGCATTTCTCACAGGTTAGCAGTCGCACGTGCCGCCTTTGAGGAGTGACGGACCCACTGTCTTGGTCTATAAACGGAAGCAGACCTCTACTTTAGGAACTCTTTCAAAGCGCGCGCAAGAATGTCGATGCTGGATGACCCCAACTTTGTGGGGCCTGACGATGATGATGATATGGACGAGGCCAACCAGGTCTGCAAGCTGAGCTAGCTAGTTCCGGCCTCCTTCTAGCGATAACCGAGGCCCGTCAGCCAGGCTCAGCGGTTCTGAGCACAAAGCATATCAATCATTTAATGCATCAGTTTGCTTGGTGGCGGCCCCGATCAGGTTGTCGAAGACGACGACGACGATGCGGCCACTCAGGATGCCGAGACCGAGGACGTTGACTATGCTCCTGAGCTTGGGGTAAGAAGGTGTCATGGACTTTCAGCGGCCTGACCTGGCCGCGCCGAGTGTGCCCAACTGAGACCTGTTGGCGCGAATGTGCTGCCCGGGCGCAGGACGACGCTGTTATCTCGTCCGCCAAGAAGGAGGTTGCCAGGGCGGAGGCAGAGCGTCTCAAGAACCAGTCAAAGCAGAAGAAAGAAATGCTGGAGCGTATGCGGGAGCAGCAAAACGCGCTGGCCTCC